TATATTTATGGAACACAAACACTTGGACTCTCTCCGAGATGCCACTATATTAACAGCCACAATATCAGACCACGCCCCTATATCTATTTGCCTGGAGAGACCTGGAGAGAATAGACCTCTGTATAGGTGGAGACTTAACGAACAGCTATTGGCCGACCCTAATATTGAGTCGGCTCTAAAAGAAGATCTCACTCTTTATTTTAGAGAAAACGACACGGAATCTACCTCCCCGGGGATACTCTGGGAAGCCCATAAGGCAACGATAAGGGGGAAATTGATAGCACTAGGCGCACGTAAAAAAAGGTACGCACTCACAAAATCACGGAATTAACTCACAAGATAACCACCTTAGAACGAATGCACAAACAATCCTTGGCGGAAGCTCATCTCCAGGAACTATCCGGAGCATTGGATTCCACCAGAACATAGAGGGCTTGTGAGCTCTACCTCCCCACTGACAAGGACCACTCTAACTATATGGTCAAAACTGTATTTTCAATTGGTGGGCCCTTACAATTCTCCTCTAATGCCCCTCCTAGGACACTCATTTTTCCCCCCAGGCAATCTATTGTGTAAATGTCTATCAATTTATAATAATAAAAATTAAATATTTAAAAAAAGAATGCAAGTGTAAAGACTGTGATACCTTTGTTCTTGTTTTGTTTTTCACTTCAGTCCATCTCTGAACATTACATGTTTGCTGGCTGATGCTCAGGGCTCTCTCTCATCCTCTTTGTTGTAAGAGCCTGCTGCTGGGTGAAGAGGCTGACTTCTGACAAAACACTAAAAAGGTACTGCCTGCTTGTTTTTGGAAACCCATTGGGGACACCCTGTAAATCAGGACCTGACATGAATTTAGTTAGTGGCTTGGACAAGCAGATGTTTTGTTTGTTTTATACTATAGTCTTGCTGTGCAAACTCCTCCTGCATTGAAACTGTGTTTGTTTATTGCCATGCAGAAAAAAAGTATCGGACAAACCTGCTTAGACTGTTCCTGGATGTCCCTGTCTTCTGCATGATTTACTTCTGCCAATGCCTGTTGAGTTCTCTCACCTTTACAATGTATATGTGTCCATACTAGGTCATCATTTTTGTGTATCTAGGGCATGGTTCTCCAAAGTGGTCAATACCGACCCCCTATGGGTGATAGGATTACCCAAGGAGTCAATATAAAGGATGGGGGTCCAAAGGGGGCCAGTAACTATCTGGGGGGTAAATTGGGGTCAATTAATCTTTTGATGTCTCAAACCAGTAGAGCTCCACGCGAGTCAATCTGTAGAGCTCCATGCCAGTCCCTTGTTCTGAAGGTGAGATGGCTAGCAGCTAGGTTTGGATGGTCAGCCACCAGTTAGAGGGTTTCTTAGTGTCTCTATCAGCTGTGTGTTGGTACTGGCTTTGTTTATTAGCGTGTTTTACTTTGTGTGTATTTGACTTGCCATCCTCCCCTTTCCGGGGGGATATATCGTGTGTAGCATTCCTGTTCACTTCCTGTACTTAGAGTTTGAGGTGGTTGAGTTCTCTGTTAGGGAGCCAGGGAGTACACCCACGTCAAGCTTTGTTAGAGAACCACTGAGTACACCTCGGTAATAGTAGCAGTATTCTTAGTATTATTAGTAATAGTACTATTTGTTGTAGTTTGTATTCAAATAGTTTCATATCATAAATGTTTAAGGGTCGATGAACAATCTGACACTTCATATGGAGGCGATGAGCTGAATAGTTTGGGGATCCCTGGTCCCTGGTATGTTATTTTGAGATATTGACCCTATGTTATTGCTAATATGTTTCACATAAACATGTAATGCTAGTGTTGTATGTGCATTTAGTTATTTATCTCTTTATTTTGCATTAGAGCCAGTAAAGCATTGGAACTGCAAAGCAATGCTCTGGCTTGGTGGCTCCTCCAAAGTCTTTCTCCAGTCCCTGTCCCTACCGAGGTACCTACATATGAGAATAAGGGTGAACGGCAGCGAGAGCACTGCCAGAGCTTTAGCTCAGCTGATCCAGATGTTCGATCGGCTGAGTCGAAGTCCCTCTGCACTTCGGCTCAGCCGAACATGCGGAGCATGTTCGGCTGACCGAAGGCAGCCGATGTACAGCTGATTTCAGCCGATGTACGACTGAAATCAGCCATACTGAGCCGGAGTGAATAGCCGAATGTCGTTTGGCTCTGTTCACTTCAGCTCGGTTATTCACTCGTCTTCCCTTGGCAGCTAAGTGAATAACCCTGTTAGTCTTAAAAGAAGAACTCCAGGGAAAATTATTATTAACCCTTGCAGTGGGGCTACCCACTGTGTGCATTACACACAGTTCCATGGTAAATAAATGCATTAGGCAGTATGATCTCTCTTCAACTATAGACCAAAATATAAAGATCATGCCTAAATGAAAAGATTAGAAATTCACTTTTTAATTCCTTTATTTTTCAGAAGAAAGAAACAAAAAGAACTGTTAAAATGAGTACTTACATAATACAGTTCTGGATTTTGTTCTAGCTGATGAACAGATATATAAACAACATACACATCAAACAACACAGATACATTTATGGTAGAGTATACCTAAAAAGATAAATACGTAATAAAGGGTCTTAATAAGCAAGATAAATTGGCTCCTGTGCCCACATTGTCCAATTACATTCCAACTGTCATTTTTTTCCCTTTATTGGTTACATAGTGAATTGAAGGTCATTGCTATGGGCAACAAATACACTTCACCATTGAAATAATTTTGACAAAAGATGCAAATTTGCAGTGACTATAAACTCAGACGTAAGTCAACTGATGGTTACAAGTGTAATTAGCAATCTGGATGTACAGTACTGAAGTTGAAATTTTAACTTACAGACCAAAAACAATACACCTCCAATGCCTAAAAAAGTGACAGTGATCCTCATGGTAATAAAGTTCATTCTTTCATTTTATAACCTGAATGACAGCTGGAATTTGGCTGGTTGCTATAGGCAACACAAAACATTCTTTCAGACGCCTATGGCACAGAAGGCCCACTTGATAATTGAAAACTGGCCACACCCAGTTCTTGCCACAAAACATTTAAATATTTTACAAAGTTTAATAAATAATCATTGCTAAAAAAATTGAATTGTGTTGGCCAGCTTTAAAATCTGCTTAGATCCAATAAAACAATTTTCTAGTTCAATAACCTTGGCATACAGCCTCATCCAAATTACACTTGAGTTCATGTAAAACCACACACAGATTATAGATTTTTGTACAATTATTGAAATTCAGTAGTACAGTATGTAGGCAGCTGTGTGACCAACTTAAAGAGGAACTTTACACATATCTTTAAAATAACAACAAATGCACCTTTAGAAAAATGTAGTAATAACAATCTACAAATAGATACTTCTAGATCATTGTCATTTTTTATTTTTTTTATTTTTAGCATTTCCGAGTATTCTGACAGTGGCTATTTTTACTAAGGGGAGATTGCTATATCTCCCTTTACTTCCTGGAACTCTGGCACATGTGACTAGGACATGTGACCATGCACATCATTTCAGGGAAGGAAAATGCCTTTCACTGAGATCTTGTGAGATTACAGATGAGATTTCCCAGCAAGGCTCTGCTGATGTAACCTTCCTGGGATGCAATGCTTGGGCACGATTACATCATTTGTGCCAAAACGGACCAGGAAGTAGATGAACTCTATTTGTAAGTAAATGAAAAACATGTTTGTCTAACTAATGAATGCAAGAAGATTTGAAATCACCATGCAGAGCTGTATGCTGATGTGATTTGTAGTGAAAGTGGAAAAAGGTCCGCTTTGAGGGCTCGTTCACACCAGCCTGCGTGCTAAGATTAGCCATTTTAGCATGCGGGCTGGAGTCTGGTGTGTGCCAGTGGTGCCTTACATTGTTACACAAGCCATGTTCTACTTTTTTTCAAAAACTGTATTGAAAAGTCCAAGTGACATTTAATTCATTTCTATGCAGTACAGCAGTGACAGACAATGTCTTCAGGGGAGCTCTACATTTTTATACAACTCACTGCAACCCAGTCTATTAGTCTGGTATAAATTTTAATGGGGGGCCCCACACAAAAACAAATTAAAAAGTTGAGTCATGCCCTTTTACATTAGAGCCAGGGGGAGCTCCTTTCTTTTATATCAGAGTTTCCCCCTTTCACATAAGAGCCCTTCCATCACTTCAGGAGCTGCAGTTGTGTTAGCATGGCAGAGAGTGGGAGGCAGAGCAGTTCTGGACGGAGGTGAACTTCATCCCTGCACCATGGAGAAGCATGGTGCTGCGGTAAAGTTTCGAGTCACCCCTATGGAAGACAAAAATTACCCCAGCCACAACACCCTGGTTGAAGAAGGCTGCTCTAGAGTACCTAGCTGGACAGATATTGACCCAGTTGATCTGATCAATCAAGTAACCTTGCTGGTGCTGCTGAGGAGAAGGCTTCTTCTGCGCTGCAGCAATGAGGTCACTCTGACTGATATACCTAGACATTTTAATGTCCCCCTAAGTGGCAAAATCATCACACAAGGCGGTGGCCACTTCCTGGTTAAACAGGATTTCCTGTAAAAATAATCAATATTCATATTTGTTTTCTCATTCTGAGCAGAGATAAATGTATGTGTGACGTATAAAGTATGTTCAAGTCAGCAGACACAGAATTTTCTACTTATGGTTTGCGAACCTGAATATAGTAGAAGAAAACTGAGCACAGCGTTGCTATGTGTATGCATCACTGCAATGCAATGGTGCTGTGTTCAGAACCATATAAAATTTAGATCTGAACAAAGCATTTTACACACGTGTGCATGAGCTCAAAGTCAACGCCAAGCCTTGTTTTTCATTTTCTTTTCATAGAACATGGATCACATTAAAGTGTCTAACTACATTCCATAACACATAGAAACTAATTACTGTAGATTTTGTCAGTTTACTATCTCTTTCATCTTTTTATTGTGCGGTTATCTTTGGACTAGTGCAATAAATGCTTTCGTTGGCGTTAATAAATGGTGAAGGATTAGTTAGATACTTCTATGATGAGAGGCGTAGTATACTCAGAGTGCCTAATTCCCATTGAGAACGCAGGTGCTCGCTTTTTGTGGTTTGTCACTTTCTCTGGACTATAAACTCCAGGCCCAGGGGTAGCAATCTGCGTTTTTGAGACTTGATTTCGTCCAAGCATGGAATAAGCTGGACCTTTTTTCATGTAGCTATTGTTATCTACTTGATTATAGTGAGCTGGACCTGGTGTAAAAGCCAAATCTTCAGAGTGCCCTCCGTGACGTGTCCGGCCAGACACGGTGAAAGCTGGGGCAGAAGCTTTTCCTGCGACTCTTGGACCCAGAACTGGAGGCAAAGAGTATTTGTTAGGTGCGGGAACCTGATCAACTGTTCTGTAGAGGGTTCTGGAGCCCATGGAGTATGATGGGGCTTTGCGATGGGTCGGAATGATACAATTCTCAGGCCTGTAAACCCCAGGACCAGGTGCTGTATCTTTATTATCTGTGAACCATAAAGCAAGGATTAGAGTGAATCATTCATACTGACATCAGATAGCTGCCATACGTGTTAGAAGTCTAATAAGAAGATATTGCAAATTTGTATATTTTAAGGCTAATTCCACCTTTTACACCATGTTCCAGGGTGCCATTCTGTACCTCCCCGCCCCCTTAATTGACTCCAACACCAACACCTACCTGAATCGTGGGATGTTTCTACAATGTACCAACAGGCTTCTGTGTATTTTTGATATCAGATTATTCAAGATCCATTAACATAACCTGTGAATGAAAGCGCTACAACTTCCTTCTGCATACTTCTCAATAGAGTACCACATTGTAGTGCATTGATAACTTCCCTCAGCTCCATAATCATATAAACCTCGGTACGGACCTGGAGCTGGAGAAGGAGTATGCAATAGCCTGGGCATTGCACCCAAGATCCACTAATCACAGTTGAAGACTCAAATGCAAAAAATGAATACATTTACAGTTTTCTTTTTTTAGTATACTTACATTGCAGGAGAATATGCCTTTACCTCTTTCTCTGACGGGCCCTGCTTCACTTTTGACCTCAGCTGGCCAGACCATTTTTGCAATTTTTTTTGCAAATTTGCAATTTTTTCTAATAATTTTTCACTTACAGCTTTCATAGATCGTAAAAGACCCCCCAAACTAGGGATGCACCGATACTTTTCGATTACCAATGCCGATGCTTGGCATTTTCATGAGAACTACCAGGGTTGCAGCGGTTGCAGCTGGGACCTGGCTCTGGTGTTCCACCACTGTCCTGAAATCATTGGTCTGTATCGTTTTGGAAAAACTGTCACATGACAATAAACAAAAATGTATCAGTACTCGTACTTGTAAGTACTTGGGCAAGTACCAGTACTTGTACTCGCAAAACTGGTATCGGCACATCCCTTTATTTATATTTATAAAAACAATATCATACATTAAAACAGTGATGTACAAATCCCAGGAGCTCCGTGTGCTCCTTACAAGTGACAGCTGCCTCCTAACTTTTACATTTTTCTCTAGTCTAGTCTTGGAGCTCGAAAAGTATCAGTACTTGTACTTGTACTGAGTATTGTACTTGGTATCGTTGCATTCCTACCCCAAACCAACATTTTTCACAGGACTAGTAGAACAAAAAGATGGTGATACCAATCTTGTGATAGTTGCAAAATGTTTATCAAAACAATTTTTTCAATAAATCACTAAACTCATTATTAACGCAGACAAATACAACATAACTTACAAAATTTCAACTAACTCTAAAAGATAAATCTGTATTGAGTTAATGAATAACAATTATTAAAAATTTCCTTTTTTTTGTACAAAACAGTGAAAATCAAATGCATGCAAAACTGTAAATAAATACCCAACTTATGATTAAAATCTGGGGGCTGGATTCACATGTATGCATTGTAATAATGCCTGATCCAGAGTGCCATGATGCGCTGTATTAGTGCGTGTTGAAATAAAATGGAAAAAAAGGATCCAGGCAGCTGCACATAGCTTTAAATGAATATAATTTCAAAAAGTTTTAAAAAAGAAAAAAAAAATCAAGCACTGCAATGCGCTTGTTATGTGTACAATAACGCATGCCTGCTGGTGTGAATGAGCCCATAGTGTGTTCATGAACCACAGTACACCATCACAAAAAATGTGTGTGTTTACATTATGTGTGTGTGTAGTTTGTGTGTGTGTGTGTTAGCAATAGGTTCACATCTATGTGCTATATTAATGCATATGCCTAGTGAGTTTTATGCATATTAATGTGCATTGCATTAGGACAGCCCAGTCATTTGAATATGCTGCCCAACACACAGAAATTGCATCAAAATGTGCATGTACCTTTTTTTTTAAGGAGCAAAAATAGGGAGCAAAAATAAAAGATCAAAGACTAAACCAATATGGTTTAATAAAACTGTAAAACAACACGTCAAGGACAAGAGAGCGGCATTTATAAAATATAAGACGGAGGGGACAGCATTGGCGTTCCTTAACTACAAAGAATGTAACAAAAAATGCAAACTAGAAATCCGGGCAGCTAAAACTGAGTGCGAAAAGCATATCGCCGCAGATAGTAAAAAGAACCCCAAAAAGTTTTACCAATATATTAACAGTACAAAGGTGAGAAAGGAGCAGATAGGTCCAATAAAGGATGAAAGCGGGAAGCTAGTCACAAACGACAAGGAGAGGGCCGAGGCGCTGAACGCTTTTTTCTCCTCAGTATACACTCGGGAGGGAAACGGGTTTGACACACATGATAAAACTCCCAGTTTAACTCAAAATATACCCCAGTGGTTGACGGAAACCGGGATACAATAAAGACTTAAA